CAAATTTATTAGAGCATAAGCTTTCGTGGGCTACAACCCACTTCTTCAGATGCATCCGAAGAAGTGGGTTGTAGCCCACGAAAGCTTATGCTCTAATAAATTTGTTAGTCTCTAAGGTGCCACAAGTACTCCTGGTCTTTTTGCGGATACAGACTAACATGGCTGCTACTCTGAAATATTCTAAAGCATCTTATAAAGCCAGGGTATCAAACAGTTGTGGCCAGATCTGGTCCAGGTAACTTTAATTCATGAGAGCCCCATAACTAGGTTCTCCACAATCTCAGTTTAATTTTTTGGTAAATTATGTTTCTAGCCTACATGAGTGCAGAGGTAACCTTCCACCTATGAACCAATTGTAAGCCATCACCACAATGCCTGCCTGAGGCTGCAGAGACTATGAAACAATGACTCTGGCATTAATTCCTCTGCCTTCTATTCAAGGGAATAGGGTATCAGTTCTAAAGCCTAGAGATCACACATCTATGTCAACATTAATGATTGCATTGCTGGAAAAGGGTTGGAGAGAAGCCCTCCACAGGAGGGAATTAGGAGTTGCAAATGCAGGAATAAATGTTTAGTTACTCCATAAAGGCTGTATTGTCCTGATTTCTGTGTGAGCCTCCCACAAACATCAGTATGGTCTCTGCTGTGGATCAAGGGGAATGTGCCCCCTGAATTTATATCCTAGTCCCCTTACCATGATTAAACAGAATCTTGGGCTCTCCTCTAATGAGTTTGAGACCCCAGTTAATAAGGTTTCCATGCAGTTAAGCTGTAAGGTCATGCAGCTGGCAGGCTGCGATTCTCAGACTGTCTGCATTTGTAAGGCATGGAACTAAGGATGCTGGTTGCAATTTTCAAAAGCACCTACTGACTTTGGATGCTCAGAGACAGTTTAAAGGGGCCTGTTTTAGGGAGGGTGGGTGTTCAACACTTTCTGAAAATTAGGCCCCTTTAAACTCTCTCATATTGGGCATCTAAAATCACTAATCTGTCTTTACCACATTATTCTCCAAAGCTGATGGGGTGAGCTGACTGCAGTTCATGCCACAATTCAGACTCGAAGATTTTACTAAAAATCTGATGCATTATGTGAGCTGATCTTTCCTTGTTGAGTAAACAGTCCAGGAGTGAACAGGTGTGCAATAGCAGAGCATTTAGGTGTAGCAACACTTGGCAGTACAGTATGCAGAAATCCATCCAGAAATACTCTCATTACAAGGAAATTAAATTATTGCTGGTAGGTCTTCCAAGCATATATGTACTTCAGATTTTTCTCTACTGTTTAAGGCGTAAATTGCCAAGTTGAGTTGTACTCCCTAATTGTTGCTTGACACAAGGAAAAGAAGCTGAGAAGGGCAGTAAAACATCTCCAAAGCTCCTCAAACTTGTAAGAAGCCACCAGAATGGAATAAAGTACTTTTGCATTGATGCAGTATTACAGCATAAGACATGGTTGCTTTTGAAGTGTGACAACTGATGAAGGCAACAGGTAAAAACCCACAAATGTTTGAAATATACTCTTTAAGTGGCAGGAATCTATTCAAAAACAAACAAGCAGCTCTGAAATAAATGTTTTGTCATTGTTTTGTAAACAGCGTATGGGATTTTACAATACAGTAACACCAGAGGGCACTGCTGCTCAATCATTATGCACTGGCAACCTAACTAGCATGATGAGTCTGTTAAGGATTCTAACAGGGATTCTTTTCCATGGTGCCATTTAGAATGCCTGCAGAGCTTACTCTTTAAATGGAAAGGGCTCGGGTAGTCTGCTCACCTGAATGTTTTAATCCTGTATAGCAAAGGTGTTGGCTTTCATTCTGACAAACTTCCCCTCTTCCCCCCCAGTTCCAAGGTCACTTCCGACAGAGCATTCAGATGCACCATTGTTTCTTAATCCCAGTTTGGAGTTACTGGACAGTGACAGCAGAGTCTTGTGCTTTTCCTGCCTGGTTTAGAGGTGAAGTTCAAGAAACTCTCCCCTGTGCCAGGCATTGGAGATACTGCAAGACTGAGAAAGCACCACTACTGCATTTGCCATAAAACACCAGACTCAGGGTTTCCATAATCTCCCCACTATCACAATCACTAGCTCAGCTCAGCCCAGCCACTAGGAGTGTTAATGCATACCAGCCACTGGCATTTAACCAGTGTTGTGTAACCCTGCTCAGAGCAGGTCAAGATGGAACACAGGCAGCCTGTCTACACTAGTGCTCCCACCATGGAGCTGAGTCACTGATGGCAATAGCAGGAAGGTTATGGACAAACGAAGTCCAGTGTAGACAAGGCCTAGGAAAGGCATGGCTAGAAGAGATAAGCAGGCCAAGAATTCCCTTTGTATTCTCTCCATGTCTGAGCAGTGACCTCCTCAGGTACCCCCAAGTCCACTTATTGTTCTCTGAAGTCTACCCAACCATAGTCAGTGATCTCCATCTGTCCTGTCCAGAAAGAGCACAGATACCCTAGGAGGCTCCTCTCACACTGCCAACCAGCAGCTTTTTGGTCAGTTACAGTTAAGTTGGTGTTCAGCAGTTCAGAGTGATGGATTCTCTCAAAGGAGGCTGTTATCTGAGCCCAGGATGTTAAGAGGCTACTACTGTGAGGTCCTGCTGAGATTTAGTCAAATTGTCTCACCATGTCAATCTTCCATGTGGTCACAGGATCCAGTTACTACATGCAAGTCCACTTCTGCACTGTTGGTTCTTTTCAACAGTAAGACAAATCAACAAAACCAGCACCTAGAAACAAAGTTGTTTTGCACCGTAGGACTCAGTTTTGAAAAAGCCTTTCAGCTCTACTCAAAGATTATCTCCACACTACCAGCTGCTGCTCTTCTCCCAGGGTCACTGCAGGGAGAGGAGAAGAAGAAAGGCAACACTTCTTAAAGCACTTCAGACAAGGTCCAATTTCCAACTGAATGGTTCAAGACAGCAGGCATCTTACCACGTAGAGAAAGCTTACAGGCTGGGGTAGAGGACTTCCAGGCTGCTGGAGGGTGGTGAGGGGGAAGAGCAGTCAGCTGGACCCTTCGTTTTGGCACATGTGGCAGAATCCATTGCTCACTAACCATCTCTTTACATTATATGGAGAAAAAGTTTGAGTTCAGCCTCAGAGATTAGTGTTTAGCAATGAACTGAAAATCTACTTCTGCAAGACACAACAGGAAGACCCCTTTCCAATGTGCACAGCACAGGGATTTCAAGCAAGGGATTACAGTCCCGTAGCCAAGCTTGGTAATGGTGAGTAAAATGTCATTCTCCTGCAGCCAAGACAGTGCCAGTTAGGGCAGGCTTCAGCTCATTCAATTTGTGATCTGTGTAGCTTTTAGAAAAGGAAAGAAGAAGAGGGAGGTCTCCTCCTGGCATGTGTCTCAGAAACATACTCAGTCTTCACTGTAAGCCAGCAGACCATGCTGTGTGAAGCTGGCAGAGCATGGAGAGAAGGATCATGACTTGGGCCAGAGGTAGACCCATTGAAGTGGCAGGGGAACTCGTGAAGAGGAGGCTCTGTTTGAAGCACTGACTTAAACAAAGGCTTCCTCATTGGGAGTGCCATTGATTTTGAGGAAGAGTTTGGCATCATCACTTCTCTGCTGTTTCTCTCTTTCTAGCCTGCGTTTATAGCAGATCAGATAGACCGGCAGGCAGAAGCCCAGCATACTCACTCCAAGAAGCCCCACGTTCACCTACAAGGACAGAGACAAGCAGCATTAGATAGGTAGGAAAGAGACAATCCTGTCTGTCTGTCACACACACACCCCCCCCCCAGGGCCTCATTATTTCACCCACCCATGCTGGACGTGAGAGATGCCCTGCTCAATACATCTGCAACAGCCTACATTTTAGTTATACAACATTACTAGCAGAATCTGCATAGAGAGCTATTGGCAAATGCTGCAAAAGCAGGTCAGTCAGTGCCATGTTTGAAGAATTTTTTGCTAGACAGAAAGAGTAAGGCAGAGCAGTCATAGCCATGGCTATGACAGACTTCAGCCAGTCTATAGCAGTGACATTTTCTCGGGAAAGGAATGGTGTCCCTAGCCTCTGTCTGTCAGAGGGTGGAGATGGATGGCAGGAGAGAGATCACTATCATTGCCTGTTAGGTTCACTCCCTCTGGGACACCTGGTATTGGCCACTGTCGGTAGACAGGATACTGGGCTAGATGGACCTTTGGTCTGACCCGATACGGCCTCTCTTATGTCTCATGCTCATGGGAAAGAGAAGGGGAAAAGGCAGAACAGAGATTGGGGCTATTCCATGCCAACACTGCTGGCCCTGCAGTTGAGCTAAGTACTACCGGAGTACACACAGCATCTGCAGTGGTGGCTTTCCTAAGAGCTGGCTGTCATACTCAGGAATTAAGCTTCTTCCTGTCTAGCTTGACTCCACTCACTCATGAGACTGCTTGCAGGCTTCCTCTTCATTCCTGCACCTCCAGAGCCACGTAATCCTTCTGATGCAATCTATCCTTGCCCCTTCTAAGCAGCTCTGCTTCAGGGCTTTAAGCAAGTTGCTTGATACAGGGTTGGTGAGAAAGACCACACAGAGCCCCCATCCTGGACAGCCACCTGACCTTCACAACTCAAGATTAGTGCAAGCAGCAACCCAAAACTCAGTGCTCACTGGGAATACTGAGGCTCACAGCTCACTGGCGAGAAGTTCTGCTGCATTCACTATCAAGGGGAGAGAGAGAGATTCCCTCCTAACTAACTAACTATCTATCTCGCTACACCTGCTGCACATGAACTGGTAACAGAAATTAATGCTGCAGCTTCCCTTCCCCTTCTTAGGTCCTTTCCAGTTACACTGGTCGTTGTGGTGTTTCACTGCATAAATAATGAGCTTCTAGAAAGAAAGAAAAAATTCAGCCTGTCTTCTTGAAGGCATTTAGGGCAGCCAAAGATAAAACAGACAGGTCCAAAAGCATACAGAATTCCTAACACATTTGAGAGCTGCTGAATAGCCTTTAGAATACCTCCATCTGCAAAGGAAAGGAACATCTCCTGGAGGGGCCCCATCATCACTGCCAGCACTCCCAAAGGAAAGACATCTGATTCCTCATCTCTGTTGAGCAGAACCCCTTTCTGCACACTTACTCCTGACCTCTCAAGGAGAACATGAGCCCTATGGCCCTACAACCAGGCTTCCTAAGGCTAATGACAGACCCTAGCAGAGCTGGGTCAGCAATCCACACCAGTCTCATACTGCTGGAAGTGTGAACAGGATTCTCCTCATCCCCATTTCCCATATAATCACTGGTCAGATTCCAGCACTCTCACTGCTACTCGTATAAAAATCATTTACCCTGGAATGCCCAGGCACAGGGCATCAACCAAAACTATGGCTAGATTTAACACAAGGCTCATTAACTTTAACCACACATCTTACTAAAGATAATGTGAGTTAAGAGAAGTTTAATAAAGTATAGTCTGGTCGGTGCAGGCATTAATTAGGAAGGAATCTATAAAACATACCCCAGAAATAAACACCATTGCACTTGGGTGGGCAGGTTGCCTTCCTCTAGGGCAGTTATTGGCCACAGTCTGAAGTGAGCAGTGTACTTGAGGACCCACAGTCAAACATCAGTGCCCACCCCTAGATAGCTGATCACAGCATAGGTCTGTGCGTAGAATCCCCCTTCATTTTGGTTGGTTCTGTGGAAAAGGAATCCCCTCCCCACAAATGAAACTGGACCCACCACCAACCCTTCATGCTAAGTTTGGGGCAGACTATATTTACTCTTCCCTCCCTTACCCAAAGAGGGTCTCCTTTCAATGGTCCCATCATTGCCAGGAACAAGGGCTGCTGCAGAAGAGCAAAAAGGGCACTGACCAAGGACTGCAGTCCCGTCAAGCTGCCAAACTGCGTTGAGGGGTATCTGTCGACACAGAAAGCAACATAATTACCACACCCCACCTTGAATCTTTTGTGCTACTCAGGGGACCAGACTGGGCATCTCTCCCAGCAGCAGGTTCCCAGCTCAGTTGTACAGAACTCAGGAATTTCTCGTTGTGTATGAATATTATGTGTATTAATTAAGATTGGCATTTAAAGCGGTGCGATTCAGAGGCCAAGTGTCTCTTCTCTGGATTATTCTCTGCCTGAATTTTCAAATTTAGGGTTTTTTTTTTGGTTTGTTTGTTTTTTAAAACACAAAATTGCAGATTAAACATAGTGCCATAGTCAGCACAGGCCAGTTGTATTCTGTAACTCTTTGGAGTGCTTCTCAGTACCCAAAGGAAACAAAAAAGGGTGAAAACAATAGGTTTTTGTAGGGGCTTCTTCAAATTGTACATCCATCTGCGCCAACATCTGGGACTGGGCCATCAGTTTCATTCCCACAGCTCATCTGGGCACAACTAACTCACTCTGGAAATCACCAAAACCCTGTACAACGGGTTAGCATGTGCCAGACATGTTTTCCTATTTAGAAACAAAGTCTGATCCTCTGCCAAGTTCAACTATATTGTTGATTGGAAAGTCGCTGAGTAGTAGATATTACTTATGAAAAGCAAGTCTTAGGGCAGGTTAATGTCTTTGTTTTTCCATGGTTGTGCAATTTTTAAATTTGACTCTTAGGAAAAAAGAAAAAAAAAAAAAAAAAGAGGTGGCGTTGGACAAAACCAACATCTTAACTTTCTTTTTTATCTACAGCAAAAGTTATTGATCTGTTTGTCCCTCAGTCCAAGAGTTCAGGTCAGAGGAAATGGATCTTCCCATTGTTAAGTAAGTTTTTTTAAGTTTTGGAAGAGAACACTGATGTATATATATTGAGAACTTGTATATGTTGGATATAGAATGAATGAATGATCCACACTACTGGGTAAAGGTGCATAGGCCTCATTAACTATGTGTTTATTTTGAGCAATGCTCTGACAAGCTGATAAATGTCTAGAAACAGCTCCATTCTCAGAGCAGACTAGCTATGTGCCCCAGAAGTCAGAGTGCCCTGACCAATATTTCATCAAGACATGTACCTGTACCTACTCATAATTAGGGCAAGTTAGCTAAAGATTTCAAGTTTTTTAACCCATATGATGGTGAAGCCAGTTTAGGACGAATTGCACCTGAGGTCCACATTAAGCATATCTATGCTTGTTTCACTGCAATAAGTAACTACAGGTCAGCATTAGGCACAAGCAAGGACAGTAATCACCTGGGATACTGCAGTCCTGCTGCCAAGTCCTATGGTGACACAGACTAAGCCATAAGTGGACTCAGTTGTTCCCTCTGACAGCAGGATCTCACCATCATGTGTCCCTTCCACCCTGGATCTTTGGGTAATCAAACCCACAGGCCAGTCACATGCTGTATATGAGCAAGGTTAGACTTACACAGCTGCATAGAGGCCTCCCACCGCTGAGTGGATGAATCCTCTCACTATTGTGTGCAAAATGAAGGAAAGGATCTGAAAGAAGCAGGAAAAAAAAAGGCTGAATAACAGTCCAAACCCACCCCTCCACCCCTGTGCCTGCTGCTCCTCCAGTTCCAGGAGAGGCCTAAGCAGCTCCAGAAACAAAGCCTGCTCATACACTGGGTCAGCACAAGGAGACAGACAGTTTGTCTGAGATGATGGCACATTGCGCTTTCGGAACCTGACTTCACTTCAGTCTGTCTGCAGAAGGGAAGTTGCTGTTCTGAAAGCGTATCCTTGGGTTTTACAATGGTTCAGGCACTTGAACCATTACTGGAAATGCCAAAGTTGAAGACAGATCTGCATGCCTGCTCTCTCCTTAGCTTTATTCACTCACTTCCTGCTTGATCCTCTCTAACAGCTTTGAGAAAAAAATAAAAAAGCATTCAGTGTGTGCAGGGGGGGTGAGGAGAGGAGAAGCTGGCATCCTCCCAGTGCATTTTGTGCTATAGAAATGTGGGGCTGGATGGAAATTCGAGAGGTCATCAAGTCCTGTCCCCTGATGTCTGGCTTGTGGTATGCACCTGGCAGAGGCATGAAACATTTACACATGTATAACCCCACTGACACTAAAGGGTGTAACTGAGGACAACATTTGGCCCACTACTTGAACAGTGGAGTCTGTGCAAGTATCATGCTGTTCTGCTTTACAGATTTTCCAGGAACCTCCTTGCTTATCTGTAGCTCAGGCCTGGATTAACAAAGGCACTACTGACAAGAGCTGGTGCTCTAGGCCTAAATCTCAGGGTTTATTTATTTATTTTACATGAAAGTGTGTGTTTATAGTCCTCATACTTGCAAAGGCCTGAAAACATGAACACAGTGCAGACCAACTCAGTGACATCTGCCTGAGCCTGCAGAGAGCCTAAAGCAACAGCTCTAAAAGGTGTTAACTGCCCCCGTACCTTTAACTGGATTATCTCCAAAACTCACTGGACTGGGGGGCCCTGCCAAGACTAGCCCAGCAGAGGACTCCGTTTGGAGATGCATCTCTGTCATTAGCCCCCCCAGTGTTGCCAGCTCTAGTGATTTTTCCTAAAGCTCCAGCTTCTGGACTCAGATGATTATGGGGAGTCTCAAATTTAATTTAAATATAAAAGTAAGTTTCTAGCTTTTGTGGTTAATAAGAAAAGCTAGTAGAGTGGTTTAAAACAGTGTTACAAGTAGTAAACACTCGGGGTCTGTTTATTTTCCTTCTAGTTTTTGAGTCTCTGACTCAGGATTTTTGAATGTGGTGGCCAATGCTGCATCATGGCTCTACTGGAAGAGCCCACCCACCCACCACATAGAGGTAGAGCCATGGTATAGCCATGGCATGGGGAGTCTGGCCACAGCACTGGGGCAGAGCCAAGGGGGACCCAGTTTGTCTTAGCCTGTCCTTATTCTATATTATGTTCTAATTTATCCAAGACAGGAACCATAGGCACTGACTTCCCCTCTGCCCCAGACCCCACCCCACTACCCCTTCCCCAAACCCCTGCTCCACCTCACCTCTTCTCCTCCCCCAAGCATGCCCTGTCCCCACCTCCAGCCCCTGCACGCTGTTCTCGGTGAGCAGGAGACACTGGGAGGGAGGGGGAGGAGTGATCAGCGGGGCTGGTGGCAGGGGAGAGGTGCTGGGGAAGAGGGGGGAGCTTGGCTGCCGATGGGGGTGCTAAGCACCCACTAATTTTTCTCCATGGGTGTTCCAGGGCTGGAGCACCCACGGAGTCGGCGCCTATGCCAGGAACCCTGCAGTACACCACTCCTTTTGTGAAATACTCACCTGCAAAGGCAGGTTAGGAATGAGACAGGTAATTCCAAATCCAACTAGTAGTATGTTGGTGAACACAAAAGCTCTTGTGGCATTCGAAATCTTCTGAATCTGGCGATCACGTTTTTTCTTTTTTTTACCATCTCTGGCGGGAAAGCAAGGAATATATCACACAGGCAGTGTAGCAGCTACTAGAATTCACAACTAGGAACCTGAGAAGTTAGAGGATACAAGAAACCAAAATCCCCACATTGGTATACCTGAGTCTTGGCCTGTACCTGAGACTCCAGCCTCATCTACAAACAGAAGTTGCATCGTTTAACTAAAATAGCTTATGGCAATCAGTTTAGTTAAATTGGTGAAAATCCCTATATGGACTCATATTCATCAATTTACAACAGAATTAGATCTGTTTAGTTTAATTGGGTCAGTTAAAGATATCAGATTGGACCCTGCAATGTGTGCTACCTACTGATTAGCATCACTCTCATCAGCCTCTTCTGAACCATCATCACATTCCTTCAGCTTCCAGTCCATGATGTAGCCAATCATGGGGGCAGTCATCAGGCAGAGCAGCTGCAACACCCCAAAAACGGAGGTGTAGAGACTCACTGCAGAGAAAAGAGACAACATGTCAAAGTCCCCCAGTGGGACTCAGCAGTAACAGAAAACAGCAGCAGGTCCCATTTCATAACAACTGGTCATTTTATCCACTCAGGCCAGATCATTGGTAGCCTCAGACAAGGGGGATGAGGGTGTTGTCTTATTTACTGCTCAGAGTCCCAGATCAACTGTAGCCTAGCAGGCAAAAAGTGTGTTACAATGGATATGCCACACTTGTCCACTCTAGCCAGGCTGATATATTTCATAATTTCCAAGAAGAAGTAACAACTCAGTAGCTAGTTCCCGGGAGGATGGCACCTGAAAGCTGGCTAATTTACAGGATAGAGCAGTGGCCAAAGAGTGGCACTATATGCAGCAGAGAGGCTTCTGACTGCAAAGAGTCTGCCGACCCTGGTCTGAAGGAGCAAGTCCCTGCCTGCCAACCTCCAGCTAGGAATCTTCTCCCCTCCCTTGCCCTGTGGTTCTAGCTGTGCCTCCCTCTGCTGTTGGTTTCCAATTCTGCCCTAGGGTTAAGAACTAGTAGGGGAAGTCATCAGGGCAGGTAGGATCCAGTGTGGGAAGGTAATCATGTTTTTTTGGAAGACAAGCCAGGATGAAAAAACTAGCTGCCTGCTGCGTGCTTAGGGAGGGGGCTTGTTTTGCTGCAGGAGAGGAAGGTGGGAGGAGCAGGGGAGGAAGCAGGATTCCTAGCAAGGGAAGGGCCCAAGGGTATCTTCTCCCTAAGGGAGAACTGTCAGAAGAGTAATCAGCAGAGATTGGTAATTACCTCCCTGCCTATCACTGTTTGTTAGCCACACAAAGACCAGGATCAGGGATGGGTTTAGAGAAGGGAAGAGTTTTAATAGCCAGTGGTCAGCAGTCACTCATGGGAGTCAGGACCCTCAGTGCTGTTACTGCAAGGTCCCCCAAAGAAACACTTAACAGCACTGTATCTACATGTTTGAGACACACCATGCAGCCAAGCATCACTGAAATACAGGAAGGAAGGGAAAGTTAGAAATGTGCTTAAGACACCCAGCTTACCTGTATCCATCACTGCATCAGCAAAGCAACAAAGCAGCAGCAACAAGAAAGCAAATATGGAAAAGCAAAGAGAGATTAGCAGCAGAAACCCTAGAAGCCTACGATACCCACCAGGACAGACAGGGAGGCACAGATAGGATATGAGCTCAGAGCAATTGCTTCATTCCACAGCAGAACCTAAAATATAAAGAGCTAGCCAGCTAATGGAGAAGAGTTTACAAGCAGCATTGTACAGCAGCTCGTGTAGGCTCAGGAGGAAACGCTGCTGCCTCCAGTTCTGGTGAGTCACTGGGGAATATTCTCCACAATGCTTCCCCCCCCCCCCCCCCACCACCACCACAGATCATGTGATTGTGGACTTGTGCATGACACAGAGAGGCTGATAAATCAGAGCCAGTGCAGTTCTGGAATAAGGATCAAGAATCTGAAACTGCCCACTTCAGCACTAAGTGCCCACAACTGCAAGCAGAACAGGACTAGGTTTAGTACCCGCCTCCCTACAGGTCTCCATCACAAAGAAATACAAACATGTGCAATGCCCATGAGGCATGCTGGAGCCATTTGAGCAGAGAACTTAAACCCTTCTTCTACCCGGTGTAGTAAGAGCAGAACTCCAGCTGCCCCTCATCCCCGCCATGCTCAGGAATGTTTGTAGGTGGGGTCAGCACCTGGCACACTGTCTCCAGGTATCTGCCTATGATGCCAGGAGTCATTACGTTTGTCATAATTAGGGCAAAGTAAGGAATCTGCAGCTCCAGTCTCAAGCGCAGACACTGCTAGCCCTCTAGCAGATGTGTCCTTATTGGATCCACAGGCACTTTCACACCACAGCATCCTCCTCCAGCTAAGAAGACAGGGTTTGGAGGAGTATCACCCTCCTAAAAGACTGAGCTATCTAGCAAGGGTTTTAATAAGAGGCCAAGAAGTTCACCCCATGGCCAATAGCATTTCTCCCATATCACGCCTAACCCTCTCCAGCCTTGGCATGTAGAGACCAACTGTGGGGACTGGTTAGGGGAGGGGAGAGAGGGAGAGACTGTTCTCTTTGGAGCAACTGCAGGACCAGATAGGATAAATTAAAACCGGGAGCCCTCTCAAAACCCACTTCTATTCAATACTAGAAGAAAAGGCTCAGCAAATGATGGCAAGCCTTTGGGGGGGGAGGCAAAGCTGCATACAATTGTACATACATGGGAATTGTCTCCCACACACACACTCATGTAAATCGTGGTCTTAGACTGTGAGCTCCTCAGGGCAGGGACTATGCGCACCACTGTCCTTTTGCAGTACTCAACACAATGAGCCCCTTGACGAGCTTTGGGGTGCTACCACAATACAATTAATATCACTTCTTCTATACCACCATGGAAAAGATGGCACTTTGAGACAGGAAATTTGTCTGTCTGTATTGTAGACACCACAGGTGTCGGGAGGAGTGGACAAGAGGACCATGCAAGTCACTTAGGAGGTTACTGCACCCATGTTTGCTCTCTTATCTCTTAGAACATAAGAAGCTTTGAATCCACTGCTCTGTCCAGCTGCAGGGAGGTTTCAGAGTCAGGTCTGAGTCAGCATAATATATGCAGGAAGCAGGACTTACAGGAAGTATCAGTGTCAGACTGTAGCTTACTGATTTTACCCCCATCTCTAACCATCACTGCCTACCCTACACTCGGTCCTGTTCAGGGCATCCTCTTGAATCTGAAAACATTTGGAACAACCATTGAGCCACTCAGCTCTCTCCTTGTATTATTCAGTGCAGCTGAGAGCAGTTACAGGGTCTCTTCTTGAACAAGCCACAGTATGTAAGAGCAGCAGGAAAGGGTAAGTAATTAATAAAATGTATTTGTCCAGCCCTTCCCCTAACCCACATGACAAACTAGGGAAATGTGGTCTGGATGAAATTAAGGTGAGTGCACAACTGGTTGAAAGACCGTACTGAAACAGTAGTTATCAATGGTTCACTGTCAAACTGGGAGGGCATATCTAGGGGAGTTCTGCAGAGGTCAGTCCTGGGTCCAGTAGTATTCAATATTTTCATTCAATCACTTGGAATAACGGAGTGGAGAATGTGCTTATAACATCTGCAAATGACACCAACCTGGGAGGAGTTGCAAGCACTTTGGAGGACAGGGTTAGAATTCAAAATGACCTTGACAAATTGGAGAATTGGTCTGAATTCAACAAGATGAAATTCAATAAAGATAAGTGGAGTACTTTGCACTTAGGAAGGAAAAAAAAAAAATCAAATGTACAATTACAAAACGGGGAATAACCAGCTACGGGTAGTACTGCTGAAGAGGATCTGAGGGTTAGAGTGGATCACAAATTGAATATGAATCAACAATGCGATGTAGCTGTGAAACAAAGGTTAATATTCTTGGGCGTATCAACAGGATGTATGCAAGACACAGGAGGTAACTGTTCCACTCTACTCAGCACTGATGGGGTCTCAACTGAATACTGTGTCCAATTCTGGGTGCCACACTTTAGGAAAGATGTGAACAAATTGGATAGAGTCCAGAGGAGAGGAACACAAGTGATAAAAGGTTTAGAAAACCTGACCTATGAAGAAAAGATTTTTAAAAATTGTGCCTGATTAGTCTTGAGAAAATAAGATGGAGGGGGGACCTGATAACATATTTGAAAACTGTTAAGGGCTGTTATAAAGAGGACGGATACTTTTCTCTCCATGTCCAGGGAAGGTAGGACAGGAAGTAATGGGCTTAATCTGCAGCAAGACAGATTTAGGTTAGCTATTAGGAAACGGTTTCTAACTCTAAGGGTAGTTAAGCTCTGGAACAGGCTTCCAAGGGAGGTTGTGGAATCCCCATCACTGGAAGTTTTTAAGAACAGGTTGGACAAAGTCCTGTCAGGAACGGTCTAAATTTACTTGGTTTTGCCACAGTGCAGGAGGTTGGACTTGATGACTTCTCCAGATCCCGGTCAGCCCTACATTTCTGATTCTAAAGCACATTTCTACACCTCTGCATCCTTCTCAGAGCTCTGTGTGTGAACCAAGCAGACACAACCCAGACAAACCTACTGTTTTCCTGATACTATGGAAACTCTAAAGACAGCAACTAGCATGCTGGGTTCAGGCTGTACCACAGGAGAAATCCAGACGGTGGCACAGAAACAGATACCAGGTTTATGGGACACAACCCATTTCTCAGCATTTTAGAGTTTTATCTATTCACTTGAACTATTACGGGGTCCAAGTAAGAGTTGTACCAAGAGAATAAATCAGAAATTGACACAAAAACTAAACACTCATGCTTTTTAAAAAAAAAAAAAAAAAAAAAAAGATGGGATGTAAAATAAAACCAAAACTAACCTCAAGCAGTAAAACAAGCAAAATGGAGGAGAGTAACAGTGAAAGAAGAAATGTTAAGTGAGTGAGAAGCATGGAGCCCATTTTGGGAAAGGCATCCAACCCTGGGCTTTGTCCTATTTAGTGGTTAACGTCTATGTTGCCTCTTTAGCATTTGGCTCTCTCTCTCTCTTCTGGCTCGTCTGTCAAGCACTGGACTAAAGAAACAAAGCAATTCATGGAATGCTGGGGCATTCTGAGTTTCTTGCATTTATTCTCCTCTCCTCCCCTAGTGCCTCATGATTGTTTTGAAAGAGTGCCTCTTGATTTATCAGCTTCACAAAATTCCAGATTTAACAAGTTCAAACCAGATCTTACTGCACAAGACAAAATTGGGCTATATTTTGTTTTGCAATTCAGGGTACTTTCAGTAAGTAAACTCTAAACTAATGTACTCTTTCCTGTTGGCTTCCTTCACTGAATCAGACACAAACAAATCCCAGAACAGAAGCTGCCAGTCAGCCTCCCAGACACACAACAGTATGCACAAGGCTATCATGACATCATTTCCCCTCAGTGCTTTGGATTGAGTCACAGAAAAATATATATATCTGTAGTTGAACTCAGCTGCTCTGTATTTTGTGCTTGCTCAGGATAAAAAAAAAAAAAAATACCCAGTGGAACAGGTTTTTATTATGGCCCTCCCTGACCCGCCAAACTTGGTAACCCCTGTTTAAGGACACAAGATGGAAAGTATTTAATAAAAGCTTGGCTGAAAATAACTTGATATTCGAGCGTGCATCTTGTTATTTGACATCTTGTTGCCCCTCTGCTTTTAGCAGGTTCCAGCCACCCATCAGACCATGACAGCAGCTGTCGGTTACACTCTGACCACTGAGCTGGTGACAGGCAGATAAACAGAATGGCATCTGGTGACTAATAAGAAACCAACATCCCCGGTAGGTGAACGGTCAGGATGATTTCCCTGTTTCAAGGGAAGAGGTGAGAATTCTGGGTGTTAATCTACCTGTCTCCAGGTCTCCCTCCACAAGGAATCCCAGGATGTTGTTCATGGCCCCCATGTAGAAAATGAGCCGCAGCTGAGTGACGCACATGGTGATGAGGCTGAGTAGCAAAATTGGGCTGAAGACACTGTGCATAAAGGACGGAGATGCTGCAGAGGAAACAAGAGAGTCTCTAAAGAAGGCAGCCTCTGGTAATGGTTATTAAACAGACATGACATCAGAACAGACTGGATTGTTTAGATCAATAGTCTTCTACTGGCTACATTACATAAACACAATACTCTAGGGACAGTCCAATGGGGAGTTCAGCGCCAGTGACTAACTTGTGCAGAAGGGACTCCCTAAAAAAAGGGGGATGATGTGGGGAGGACAACGACGAGTAGCTATAAGAATTTAGCGTGTCAGTCTTTAGCTATAACAGTTCATACATTATGTACTGTCTATGTAATGTTCACCAGCACCCAGACATCTGCCAGGGTGGCAACATATGCCATCAAGGTATGTGCATGCATTTGGGGGGGAGGAGGGGGGGGTTATATGTGCCTGAATATATACTTATCTGGACAATGATGAGTTGCACACATGGGTTAAATTCACCACATGTAAGGGCCTGCACAAGGCTGAAATATTGCTTAGCTCCTATTTTGAGGAGTTAAGTGGTGCACTGACCTTGTGCTGGTCCTTCGCACTAGGGTGAATGTCACATGCACAAATCTAGAGACAATACCTGCATCGTCTGCTTGACACTTCACTTCCAGGTCCACTGTTGACAGACAGAGTTTGTTTCCCTCTTGAGCTGCCAGCTCCTTGGGGTTCTTCATGGAGCTCCCCACACTCAGACGACGTCCCACTGTGGTCACCTGCTTGTAAAACTGTTTCCCTGTAATTTTGTGGTCAAATCCCAGCCAGCTGAACTTGATCTTCACTCTGTGTGGGCAGAAGGGGGGGGGGGGAAAAAGAGTGAGAGCTGCAAAGCAGAGCTGAGATATTCATGGACTGATCTAAGGATACTGGAGTCACAGGATGCAGGAAGGTTGACTATAGGTTAAAAATCAACATCTGGAAATCCATAAAGAGCCTGGGACCCAAAAGAGAAACCTCTCTCTCTCTCTATGCCTTACTGCCACATCAAAGATGCCAGAGCTGGAACTGCCTCAGTAGAGAAATGAAGTTGCTGCTAGGAGGGTGTTTGCTGTAGGGAGTCCTAGAGGCTGGAACACACCATCCTCCCTGAATATCAGGAGGATCACTAGGTAGGATAAACATTTATAAAGGGCTGTAAACCTTCACACTTAGGACAGAAGTCAACCATAAATATTTAAGGTTAGGAATAAATGCATCTTCCTCTGAAGCAGCTGATGCTAGCCTCTCTCAGAGATTGGACCCCCATGACTGATCCAGTCCGGCAATTTCTATATTCCTAAGAGCAGAAGGAGACACTTACGTGTAGTCCATGTCTTCTGGTCCTGGGAATGGCTCCAGTGGCCAGTTGAAGAAACAGTTGAAGAAAACTAGTCCTGCACAGGATGCCCAGACAATCAGAATGAGGATGAAAGAGACACCAAAGTCATATATAACCTGGAATTCACAACAGAATAATATCATTAGCACATAAAATATCCTATGCTCTAGTGTTTGCTGAAATAGATTTGGGAGTAAGATGGAGGGGAAAGCATGTGGCATTTAAAAACAGGGTTGCAAGGTGACATCTAATGAAGGAAGGAATTCTGTGACATCATGTAAGCACAACAAAAGTTTTGCACAAATTTATGCACACATCTTTATACAAGACATCAGTTACAAGAAAACAAGGAGCTTCTGCTGAAATTGAAACCCAGCTCTGTCAGAAACAATACAGTAACTCCTCACTTAAAATCATCCTGGTTAAGGTTGTTTCATTGCTGATCAGTTAGAGAACATGCTCATTTAAAGTTGCACAATGCTCCCTTATAACATTGTTTGGCAGCCGCCTGCTTTGTCCAGTGCTTGCAGAAAAAGCAGCCCTTTGGAGCTAGATGGTGGGGGCTTAGAACCAGGGTGGACCGGCAAACTCCCCCCCCCCCACCACCACCCCACCAGCTCCCCGCTCCCCTAAGTTCCCTGTGTGGCAGCCGCCCAGCAGGCTAGCAACTGCTGGGCAGTTCAGCTGTCCCCCGTCCCCACTGCCGTGTGTTGCTCCTGCCCTCTGCCTGGGAGCCTCCTGCTTGCTGTGCGGGGGGGGGGGGGGGGGGGGGGGGGGAGGGGGGCTAATGTCAGTGTGTCCCCCTCCCCCCTGCTCCTGTACCCTATCACGACAGGGCTCAGGATCGAGGGAGCTTGCTGGCAGCAGCTGCCATCTCAACTTGCTGATCTACTTAAAAAGGCAATATACTTAAAGTGGGGTCAGAGTACTTAAAGGGGCAATGCGCGTCTCTCACAAACACATCGTGTGTGTCTCGGTCTGCCATGCTGTCTCCCCTCCCTCCATTCGTGCTGCCTTATAGAGTATGAGGCTACATTAACAGCAGCAACGTGTTAACCTTTGAGAGCTCAGCCAAGTGCTAGTTCATCATTTAGCAGTACGGCATTCCCTGGGAAATATCCCACCCTCTTACTTCACCACCTCAACCAAGCGTCACAATCATCATTGCTGTGTACAGTATTAAATTGTTTGTTTAAAACTTATACTGTGTATGTAAAATAGAGTCTTTTGTCTGGCGAAAAAAATTTCCCTGTAACCTAACCGCCCCCGCCCCCCATTTACATTAATTCTTATGGGAAAATTGGATTCGCTTAAAGTAGCATTTTTCAGGAACATAACTACAACGTTAAGCGAGAAGTTACTGTACAGTCATTTGAGAAGTTACATCTAGATCTTCTTAGGAAACCCATTAGGAACTTTGCTGCATGGCTGGTATAACTTGATCTGACCTACTGTCCAGACCCATAAGAGTCTTGGATTTATATAAGCTAAACCATATTAATTTTGCCTCTGCGGATAAAGCTATGTATTAAATAGCACAGATTTATTGGCTCTCCTTCCCTTTCAGAGCTCTCCACAAAACTCTATAATTAGTCTTATCACTATCTGAAGGTGCACAGCCGCCTCCAGATAATAATCAAAAGCTGATATTTTATTACAATCGGTCCCATGGATTCCAGAATTTAAATTTTATATTTTTCAACTCCAGAGATTGCGTATATCACTAAAGGTGGAAAAATGTTTTGTTTCTTTAACACCACTATAATCCTATGACTTGTGTACTTTTCACTGAAAACCATCTCAGAACTTCTAAAAACCATCCTGGCCAGTTTATAGACCTATCTGAGGTACTATCTGGCCTCCATTATCATAGTATCTGAGCACCTCAAAATCTTTAATGTATTTATCCTCCCAACACTCCTGTCAGGTAGGGTAGGGCGATTATCCCTATTTAAAAGGACTTGCCCAAGGTCACACAGGAAGTCTGTGGCACAGCAGGGAAATGAACGCAGGTCTCATGTATCCCAGGTTAGTACTCTGTCCACTGAACCATCCTTTCTAATGACCATCATGCAACATGGAGTCCTAAGACAGCAACATCAGAATTGCTGAGACAAATTTGTCAGAGCTCAGGATTCCACATCCTCACCTTGATTCCAGGAAAAGTGACAGCTGAGGAAGCGTAGGAGCCAATCATCAGAGCAATGAACGTGGAACGAAGGTCACCAAACATGTTGGGCAGCTGAAGGGGGGGCGGGGGAGGAAGTGGGAGGAGAAAGAAAAAAAAAAAAAAAAAAAAACTTGTTGAAACTGTAATATGGGAAGAAGAAAGTGAAGAAGGTTGCTTTGAGAAGCCCCAGCACCAAAAATGTTTGCCTCTGTATCTAGGAAATGGAAGGAAATGTTAATTATTCAAGAATTTATTTGGCTTTCCACAACAGTACACTGGGATGCAATGAGGCTGTGAAAGTGCCCATCTGCTCTGCTGCCTTTAGTGTTCCCCCTATCAGGGCTTGCCTACACAGGGAAGTTTACCAGTATAATTATACCAGTATGTCATAAACTGGAAAAAGCACTTTAATTCCAGAATAAGAGTGTCCATACAAGGAATTATAAGTATATCACTATAGTTATACCAGTAAATTTCCCCATGTAGAAAAGCCCTCAGTAACTAGCTTGTAAACCAAAAGAAACATGGCCAGGGCTGCAGCTTTTCTTGCTGCCTTTGGGAGTAGGTCTTCCCCACACATTAATTATCCTCTGCATAAAGGTGTCTGTCCTTAACTCCCCCACTGCCCACTCCTATTTTCCAAGGCAAACTGTGTAATCACCACCTTTCTCTACACCTCTGAATTGTATACACCTCGGTCCTGTCTATTAGCTAGAAAAGGGGAGATTAATAATGCTCCCAACCTCTAACACACAACCCACAGGGTACTGATCTCCACTACTCACTTCCCTATTTCTCATTCTTCAGCATCCTACCTGCATCACGGTCCCTCAAACTCTAGGGGAGTTATTCCCAGCACTTTCTACAATGCCACAATTGTTCATAGATCATAAAGCTAGAAGGGACCACTGATCATCTATTCTGATCTCCTGTATACACAGGCTATAGGACTTCACTTAATTCCTGTTTGAATTAGAGGATATCTTTTAGAAAGATATTCTATCTTGAGTTAAAAATTGCCAGTGATGGAGAACCCACCACAATCCTTGGTAAATTGTTAATTATCACCACTTAAAAAAAATGCACTTAATGACAGAAAAGCAAAGAAAATGCAGATGCAAATGCTGCAACACCTTATGCTGATGGGTGTAAGATTCTGCCCTCCCTCATCCCAAATCCTACCCTGGATCAGTGTCCTCTAATGTTTTTAGGTTGCTTAGGTACCCAGGTAAAAGGGCATGATCAGTTTATAATTTTTCAGACCTATTTTCTTCAGCAAGTTGCACTGAAGCCCAAGCTCCCATTTCTAACCAGGCCCCAATCTCCCTCTTTGATGGTTCCTGCAAATTCATACATTGCTACAGGTCCTCTTCCATGTTATTAACATACAGCAAATAGCAGCTGGGACAAAGCTCATCATCTTAGCACACAACTGGGCAGGACAAGTATCCAGATACAATTTACTTTTTTTTAAATTTACTTCACAAAATGTGTCCCACTCCAGGAGTAGCAGGAAGAGTATAAATTGGGACAGAAGAAAAAAAAAAATCTTCTCTAAAAGAGCCATGGAGAAGAAACACCACCAATATTTTAAATATCCAGAAAGGGATGAGTCCCCATTACTAATAACCTGTGAGCTTGGATTCAAAAAAAGAATCACTCAAATCAGAGGGGTGCTGGGAAGTCTCTAAAATTGGTTCTTTCCTGCAGCTTATAAACAGGCAGAACTTCTGCACCAAGTAGAGCGGCCTTTCCAATTTTCATCTCAAAATGAGTTCAGGGATTAAAATAGCATCATTAGCATGTTAAACAGAGGCCTTAGTTGACACCCACAGACATATACAGTTGTCCACTTCTAATACTGATAAATAAAGCAATATTATTATTTTATTTGCTGTTTATGGACCTTGCTGAGCTGGGAAAAATTAGACCGAACCTGAAGAGACCAGCTCTCACATACACGTGCTACAATAGGAAAACAAATCAATTTTTCCCAGTAATAAGGCAGGCATGCCAGTCTGTGCCAAGGCAGGATCTCCTGCCTGTTTACATTTTGAAGTACTCCTGTAAGTGTTTCTCAGGCAGGAACACTCTGGAAGTTCCATCTGGCTCAGTTATTTGTCATGGTTATTTCTCATTACAAACGTTCGTATGGAATGCATCTCAGGTCCTTGAATCACCCCAGAGCAGGAGCAGCAGTTATGATGTTTAGAGATTTAGGCCAGGCTTATATTACCACTTACTTTGGTATAACTTACGTTGCTCAGGGGTGTGAATAAGCCATTTCCCTGAGCGACGTAAATTACACCGACCTAAGCACCCGTGTGAACAGTGCTATGTCAGTGGGAGAAGCTACCACCTCTCATGGAGGTGGATTTATTATGTTGATGGAAGAGCTCTCTCCCGTCAGCACAGAGCAATAGTCTCCCACCTTTTTATGGACAAGATCACTTTTAATTTAAGTGCAACCCAGGATCTACCCCACCCCTTCCCCAAGGCCCCGCCCTGCTCACTCTATCCCCCCACCCTCCATCTCTCGCTCTCCCTACCCTCACTTTCACCGGGCTGGAGCAGGGGGTTGGGATTCAGGAGGGGGTGCAGGCTCTGGGCTGAGGGGTTCGGAGTGTGGGAGGGAGTTCTAGGTGGGGCCTGGGGCAGGGGTGCAGGAAGGGGTATGGGGTGCTGGCTCTGGGAGAGGGCTCAGGGCTGGAGGTTTGGGGTACAGGAGGGGGCTCAGGGCTGGGGGTTGGGGTGTGGGAGGGGTGCAGGCTCCAGGATCCCACCAGGCAGCACTTACCTCGAGCGGCTACCGGTTGCTGGCGCAGCGGAGCTAAGGCAGGCTCCCTGCCTGCCCTGGCCCCACACTGCTCCCAGAAGCAGCCAGCACATCCCTTTGGCCCCTGGCAGCACCACCCCCAAAGACCCCATTGGCCGCAGTTCCCTGTTCCCAGCCAATGGGAGCTGTGGGGACGGTGCTCGCAGGCAGGAGCAGTGCATGGAGACTCCTGCCGCCCCCCAGGGGCATGCTGGCTGCTTCCTGGAGCAGTGTGAGGACAGGGCAGGCAGGGAGCCTGCCTTAGCCCCGCTGCGCCGCCGGACTTTAGCGACCGGAGATTGCGATCGACTGTCAGAGGCTCCAGGATTGACTAGTCGATTGCAATCTATGGGTTGGTGACCACTGGCAAAGAGCATCTTCACCAGACGTGCTGCAGCTGCGCCATGTAGCACTTCTAGTGTGGACTAGCCCTTCCTCTACTTTGGGGAATCCTGAGAAAACAACTTGGTGGCAGCAGGGTATGCTGCAATGTTCTACAGTAGGGCATGCCCACACCCAGATACCTGCATCCAGAACAGCTGTCTTAGGGAGGTGTGCATTGGAAACATATAAAGCAATCTCTTCCCTGGCATGAAATTCCAACTCTGGGTGTGGTGGCCTAAATCTGCACCACAACACAACACTTGTCACACTGTAACCTCTCTGTCTTACTCTAGAAAGAAGCTGGTCTTTGTCACCAGGCAGGGAATTCAGCTTCTGTTTATTTAAACTCAGTAATACCCTAAACCTAAATAAGCCTACAGAATTACAACAGCTGCTGCGGGAAGGGCTTGGAGCAGGGCAAGTACTCCACAAACACAGCTGCTTCATGGCTTGGTTTTCTTTCAGCCACAGAGATCACACAAAGAGCCTTTTTCACACAGCATAGCAGCAAGACTCAAGTGTAGGTGACACTTCAGCCATAGTGGTTGGTGGTAATTTTTAGTAATGTGCCTGAAGATGCAAAACAGCCTTTGCCATCACATCCAAGTCTTTTTATGGCAAGGAGGGAACCTGTGCTCCTCTCCGCATTAGGGCAGAATTTTGAGAAAGGCTCACTTTCCAAAGAACACAGCTCCCATTTAGGTACTAAAATAAATAGCTGATTTTCAAAAGAGTTCAGCATATTTGGATGAACTCTCTAGAAAACCTGGCCCCAACTGTTGGCCCTGAACACATGATTATCTGAACCTGAGATTTGGGGGGGGGGGAGGGAGAGGAGGGGAAGGAAGAACTGATCCTAGAAGGAAAACCTTCTAAATAGACCAGGAAAAGGGCACTTGTGCTATCCTCCTTCCATGTCCTGTTTCCCCATCAGTGTTGCCAACTCTCGATGTTAGCTGTTTTTCTTAAAGCTCCAGCTACCAGGGACGGGCAGTTACACAAATCAGGAGCTTTCATTATTTAAAAGAAATAAAATTATTTTCTAGCTCTCATGGTTGCAGAAGAGACTTGAAAAAGTGAACCATAAAAAGGCAGACAGACCTAAATTTTATTATTTTTCATATATTTTCAAGGCTATAAGGGACAGTTTAATCTAGTCTGATCTCCTGCATACAGGCCAGAGAATTTCATCCAGCACTTCTGCATCAAGCCCTAAATTCTGGCTGAGCTACAGCACATCTTAGAAAGAAAGAATCTTGATTTAAAGATTCCAAGTGACAGAGAATCCACCACATTGCAAAGTAAATCACCCTCACCAGTAACATTTTGCACCTGATTTCTAATCTGGATCTGTGCAGCGTCTCAGCTTCCAGCCACTGGATTTTGTTATGCGTTTTCTGCAAGATTGAAGGGCCCTCCACTATCAGAAACACTTTCCTCACATAGATACGAATGACAGCAATCATGTCACCTCTTTACCTTCTCTTGGATAAACTAAATATGTTGAGCTTCTCCCATCATACAAGAGAGTTTCCAGATCCAGAATCATTCTTGTACCTCATTTCTAAACCCTTTCTAATCCTGATGTGTGGATACCAAAACTGGGCACAGTATTCCAGTAACGGTCTCACTGATGCTGTATGCAGTGGCAAAAACACCTACCTACTCCTATAGGACATTCCTCTGCTTAAGCAACCAAGGATTGTGCCTCTTAGCACTGAGAGCCCATATTCAGCCAGTTGCCACCATGACCTCTATGTCCCTTTAAGAGTAACCACTTTTCAAGATGTAGTCCCCATTCTGTATATGTGACCTTATGATTAAAGGCTGACATGTTTTGAATGCTTGGGGCTGCAATACTGAGACTTCTCCATGTAAAGATGAGCTACAAATAAAAAGAAAGAAAAGCATGTTTGGGTCTTCTTGCGTCCTCATAGTATAGGAATGTGGCAGGAAAGGGTTGTGTATGCTTGGGTTGTAGGGTAATTTTTTCTTTTCTTTTTTTTTAAATTAGAAATAAAAGCTCTGACTTCCTGGTTTTTGCTGGCAGGACTGGAGAGAATTAGTGGGAAATCCCAAGAGACTGAAATCTGAGCATCTGGGAGAAGGCATTTTTAGTCAATGTCTAAACTTGGTTTTCTGTTAATAGCTATTTAATTTGAACTCCTTCCAAGCCCATGGGAAATGTTCACTATGAAAGTATCATTTCATCAAGGCCAAGGGAAGTTCCAGTTCCACTTCTCCAGAAAAAACCCCAACAACTTGATATTCTGAATACTGCTTAGTAATAAAGACACTACAAGGCTGCCCTTCCCCATTACAGAACAGCAGCAAAGGGCACAAGCTTGTTTTCTATCCTATTCTCATTTTAAAATGCAGCTATTTTTCTTCTTGATGCTCCCGGCTAGAATCTATAAAAGGCCCTCTATGGTAATCTCTCGCATATGTTTCTCTCTCTGTGCAGAGTAGTTTGGCTGGAGCTCCCTGTGCTCTTAGGTTCCTGTGTTGTGGTCAGCCACCAGCACAGATTGCTCTGTGTCCATTTACAAATGCCTGCTTACGATGGCTAAGTCCAAGTCACTCCCTGGAGATCTCTGCATTGCACTGGAACAGGCAGAGTCTGTCTGACCACCTTCCCAGAACTGGGGACACCATCACCAGCCTTTGCTGCCCTCCCGCTCTCTGCCCCAACCTGTCAGCCCTGCAGCTCAGGACATCCAGGAAACACAGATTGAGCAGGCTCAGACATTAGCTTATCAGACACTATACAGCTGCCATTTGTTTTTTATTACATCCCAAGGGTTTGTTACAGAGAAGGCTTCAGAATTAGGAGGCAAATTTCATACACAGGGTCCCACATCTTATCCCCCCTTTGCCCTGACACAGCTGTTCATATGCACCATCCTTCCTCAAGCATCATGGACAAGCTTCACCCTCTACCACGGCTGACAGGTAGGACCAACTCACTTCTCCAGGACTAAGGGTAGCAAGGAGGGTGCCTGACCCACACACATTTGAGGACAGATAGTATCTTTATGCACCCAGGTGGGGTTCCACCCATTGGCTGGAGTCGAGAAGGGTGGAGCCACAACCCGAGCAAACAAGCAACTCATAGCTCAAAACCTGTGACCCATCTTGTAAGGGTTGGAAACCTCATCAGCATCAGCCACGAAGGATCCACTCCTCTGAGCAGCTAGAGTCTGAATAAAAATTCATCTTGCCAAGTTCCCATCCACTGCCTTTTTAATATATAAACATAAAGAAGCAATCTTCACCAGAACTCTGGCTGCACAGAATTAGCGCTCGCAGCAGAGGGTGAGGCCCCTAGAATTTGCACTCTCAACCGAAGCAGCACTACACGTCATTGCAATTGGAGGAGGAGGTGAAGTCACTTTGTTTTTTCCTCAGGACTTACATACACAAACATCTGCACACTCAGCAGTTAGTTCCTATACCAGCCAGAATGGGCTCCTCACACCACATTGAATTCATTAGGACTGGAGACATTAGTGCAGCAGCATGTGGACTTTGGGCAATGAATGTCAAGCTCTTCAGGTCTCCTTACCTAAAGCTCATTTCAGTCTCCTTGTTTCCAGCTCACCTCTAAATTCCCTTCTCATTATGTAGAGTATCTACACTGTGTATGTAACATCCACGCTGCCCCAGAGCAGGAGGCATCCCCTGGTACCTGCAATACCTATATGCACAGCATTAATGCTCTGAGTTTTTCTCCTTCTCTCACCTTTCTACATACAGCTCATGGGTCACAGCTGGAAAGGGCCCTCACACTAGTTCCCACATTTACATGCGTAACTATTACATGCCCAAAAGAGAATTTATGCAGGCAAATCAGCCTGATGTCTAACTCCCCGATCTATACATGGAAATGCAAGTTTGGGGGCATAAAGACACTGGTGCAAAGTTAGAGACAAGTTTTGAAATGCTGGACCTGTGGCCACAACATGGGTCTCCTGCTGAGATAAACTGTCATACAAAAGAACTCTGAAGGCCACTGCCCAAGTCACAACTCTGGGTGCAAGCCCAGTCCTGACGGGTACTGGCAATCACAAAGGTTTACGAACAGTTACTTTTAGAACTGTTTCAGATTCTAATCTTTATTCTTATAAGGCTTTATCTTCATCTCTGAAGACCAGTTTCCTTATTGCTTCTGTTCTCATTTGCAGTGATGAAGGTATTAATAGGCTGCTGTATTTCTCTTTCTATGAAACGCTATAGACACATGAAATGCTCACTTGCTGTATTATAGAGTGGCAACACCAAGTATCCTATGACCTGCAATTCATAAGTGTCAGAGCACATCCACTTGCAACCAATGACATTCATATCTAAGCACCTATAGCATTCCCCAGTGCTCTGACATTGCATCACAGACCTAGCCCCACTTACGAGTGAAAGTGGATTCTGCTCTAGATCAGACTCAGAGCTGCAGCCCCCTCTAAGAGTACTTTGAATTTGGCCATGTGGGGAGGAACTTGAAAGAAGCAGAGGAGTGCATAAGGGAGGCCTGCTGTCAGCCTACCTGTGTGGCAGCTCGGTTTATTATTACCAAAGTGCACGGCAATAAGTCTGAGCTGCCAGAGAGCAGCACAGCTCCTGCAGTTCTCCCCAGGCCTCACGCAGTTACATTATTTCAGTCTAAGAGGGGCCATGTGTGGAATTTTCATTGCTAGTCAGACAGAACGTCAGGAAAGACACAGTTAAAGATGCCTGCGTACGGGGGCTCTGCCTTCTCCACACACAGCCTCTCCCATATAGTATGCAACCTCCATCTCCTCCTTCAGATCCTACAATCTCTCCAATAGCGACCCAGATAAACACAAAGTTAGAAAGCCACCACCCTTGACACCAACATGATATGAGTCACCTTAGTAGCCCCACAGGCTTATTCATGGGCCCCTCCTAGCTGTTTGTCTCCTTATGTTCTGCCTGTGTCATACTCCATTTACCCTGCACACTCATTGGGTCCAGGGCCACAGACAGGGTTTTCAGATGAATTTAGGAGCCTGGCTTTATACACATTTTTGAAACTTTTGGACTATAAAACTTTACTTGCTGTCTAAAGCAGCTGCCACAATTCTGACATTACAATACATACAACAGCCTCCAAACTCAGCCTCTGCCCATGACAATTCACAGGAACTCAGCCTGTGTGTAACCCACAGGTTAGAGAGAAATTTAGAAACAAGGTGAAAGTGAGCTGGGTCCAAACAGGTGATATAACGGCTTCCCAAGCCGCTTTCTGAGAGATGTTCAACTCGGAACACCTAGTTCCAGCCACATGAACAAGGGTAAGAGTAATGAGGTGAAAAAATCAATTCTCAAATTGGCTGCTGCATCTGCTCCCATCTCTAAGCAACAAGAGCCCCAAAATGCAGAGAGGCAGCAGACTTAGTCACTGGTCGATGTTTGTGCTCCAGTCAATGGACTGAGTAAACAGACATAAGTATGCTGCACAGATGGAGCTGGGCTGGGCACATTTCAACAGCTCAGCACTTCCAAGAAAAAGTCTGTCAGCACCTTGGAGTAATTCTCATCCATATAAAAGGGCAAAGCCCGTTGTGCCAAGGAACTCTCCTTCCCTATCTAAGGAGAAAAAAGTCACACAGCCATGCTCAAAAGGAACTGGTTTGTACTAGTACTTGTCCCCCACCTCCGAACAACTCCCTATGCTGTTAATTGCTTGTTGCTGGTCAATGCAGCACTACAAACAGTAGTATCTGCCATTTACAAAAGAACAGTACTTCCCCACCTTCCTGCCCAAGATTTCACTACATCCTTCAACTTTCAAGAGCCTTGTGCCCCTCCACCTTCTCCTAAGGCTAAGAGTAAGCTAGAGCTAAATTCAATGCATTACATGTGGGCCCTGCTTCAGTCAGCTGCATTGCACATGTGTAAGTTAATGCAGAATCTGGCTCAAAGGACGGAAAAGAGCCTTCGCTTCCCTCTCACCAACTATCCCCACTGGTAAGGGACAGGTGAGCCCTGGGCTAACCATCCAATATCAAGCTTTTCAAATAGAAGAGTCATAGACCAACTACCCCATTCGTATCAAAATATAGGTGAGCATGAATCTGTTCAACTCAGCAAACGAAGGATTCACTTGGCAACTTCCTGCCAGTTCAGCTCACCAGCTAGATCAGGGGTTCTCAAACTGGGGTCGTGACCCCTCAGGGGGTTTTAAGGTTATTACATGGGGGTCACAAGCGGTTACCCTTCACCTCCAAACCCCGTTTTGCCTCCAGCTTAAATGTGTTTTTAATTTATAAGGGTGGGGGGGCTCTCTGTGTGAAAGCGGTCACCAATACAAAAGTTTGAGAACCACTGAGCTAGATAAGGGGGAAATAAGATCTCCCTATTCCCTATAGATGGGGCCTTGCAAAGAGTTGTGGGGTGGAGGCCAAAGAGGATAAGTGAAGGGAGGGCAGATTCACAATTGCTCACGTAATAACTCTCTTCACTTACCGTAAGTGAGGTAAAGGTCATGCACATTCCACCAAAGCCATTCAGAGACAGTGAGATGAAGATCAGCACTGACAGTGCTGCAGTGGAAAAACAAGAGCATTTACTGGATGGAATCACAGTGTCCCCAAAAATCCTGGTTCCAACAAGTAGAATTTTGGCAAGGACTGAGCCAATGCCCTGCACAGAATGAAAGATTCCTTCCAAACTGGCTCATTCTAGCTCCACACTGTTCATTCTAAGCCAAGGTCACAGGGAAAGACATTCAGGTAACTAGGAGAATCAGAATTCATTGTGGGCATCAGTTTGCAGAGCCATGGACACTAGTTTTTCTCTGGGATGTGTGGGAGTCCAAGGTCTCTTCTCCTCCCGCCCCTCTGAACTGTCTCACTGGTCAGCATTGGTCTCAAAAGAAAAATTTACTTTTTAGAACTGGGCTCCAGGGACCACCTCACTATCTCAGCTAGAGGATACGGCTATATTTATCCTGGGGCTGGGGAAGCTTTGAACAGTCAGCACTGGTTACTGCCCACCTCTTAATTCTTTAGGAACCTTTCAACTTTTGTTCTTAAATTTCTCACTGTGAGCTCACCACTGCTGAGGCACCTTCACTCTGGCAAAAGAGTGAAGCTGGGAAAGAGACAGCTGCCTCAGAGCCACCTTTGATACTGCTAAGCAAGGGACTGTACAAGCAGCACACCCAAAAATCTTCCCTCTGGAGACCAAGCTTAATGCCCCCTCAACACACCATGGGGCTCTATATCTCACTTGTCACTGGCAGGCCTGGTCTGCAGTGCAAGATTATTATACTTTATACGGGATACAAAGCAGGCGGCAGTTTTTTTGAACTTTTTGCTCACAGGATTCTTGTAGTATGGGACTCTGGCTGCATTCCCATAGCTGGGCCTGCCTTTGAGCCACTGCACCCTCCCAGTAGGCAATAAGCAAAGTTTGTGCTGTACTTCTTGGGGGTGATCTCTTTAGCTCGCTGAGGACACTATAATCAGAGTATGTGCCCTTATTTTAGCGTTCTCTGCACACTACAGCACCCAGTTACTAGCTGAACCTTTCAAAAGTGTAACAACCCCAAGGCCCTTTCAATAGAGTCCACAGAGCTCAGTACTTACAATTTGGGTTACTAGCTCCATATGCAATCATCACACAGGACACAGCGAAGCAGGCACTGAAACAGAATTGAAGCCTTTAACTACATGTAAGAAAGCCGACTATAGATAAGTTACACTGTCTCCGCAGTCTCAGTGCCTGGCTAAGGCGGAGACTTTGAGAGTTAATTGGCTGAAGCAGAATCTGGATAAGATGGAAGGGATGCTCATGGTTTGGAGACAAAAATCTAGAGTAATAGGTGAAAGTTCTTCATGTACCTTCTATGGGTATTGAAGAGTCAACCCTTCCCAATGCAAAACTCAAACTTGAGGTCCTAACAGGTTCTGAATTTTCAGGCAGTGTCAGTGTCCCATCATCTGCATATGACAAGGAGACTGCAACCACCTTCCCCTATGACATGGCCCTACTCACATCTATCCAGACTTCAGTCACCTCCAGGCTGGTTTACTGTAAAGCAGCAGTTTGTATGAAGAGCATTCAGAGCCTTCACCTGCCCACCTCCCACGTGAGGCAGGTCAATGAGCACAAATACCTGCCCCTCAGTGCTTAGCACATGGTACTGGCTCAGTTCCAGGTGCAATTCACATAGTTAGAATATTTACAGATCTAGACAGTCTGGAACCCAGTTACCCAATAAACCACTTCTCCCCTGCATTCTATCACAGCAACTGTTAATACCAACTCCACATGGTAATTTGAGACAGGAAGTGATATATTCCTTTGCCACTTGAAAGCACAAGGGAAGCTTTAGACAGGAAATACGCAATTAACTCTGGAGTAAATGGGGTAACATCCAGTTCTTGCAAGTCATGTGGGATGGGATAATTTAGTAACCACAAGCAAGACAGACCTTGTTTTCTTGGGTAATATAGCACCTTCAGCAGTACTGTGCCACTAGCACCATGGTGGGGCATTGACTTAGTATCAGCTTGACTCCCATCCCTACTGACACAGTGGAATAGTTCTGCTGTCCCCCCAGAACCTCGTTTCCCAGGGAATTCAGAAGTCAGAGACTCTAGGAACATGGATGCAAATCCCATCCCCTTCTCCTTATAGGGAGATTTAAAGGAGTTCACCTGTCAGCCTCAACCCTACCCTGTTCATGGCTGATGGAGCTCTGGGAGATTTCCAGTCCAGTCCAACAGCAGACAGGCTTTTCCCCCCCCGGGTATCCATTTTACAAAGACAACAATAGTGGTCAGATACCATGGAGATGATGAGATCCCCTGGTGATAGGCATGAAACTAGAACCTGAGTAGAATGAACTGCTTGCCATAAACTATTGAACTGAGGACTAAGCATAACCTCTGGCTCAAAATTAACTTTGAGTTTTGAAACAGTTGGTAGGCTTCATGACACCAACCTGCCAAGCAGACGCAGTTTGCGAGGGCCATATTTGTCCATGACAATCCCAAGAGGCAGAGTGATTGCACTCAGCAAGAAGGATCCAACGGTAAAAGCCAGGTTCAGCATTTCATCCTGCTCCGGGCAGATGAGCCACCCATTGATCCGAATCACAGCTTCCTGCTCTGTCCTGTTGCCATGTGCAGAGCTGGTGGTAAAATTCTCTATATGGGATAAAAGAGAAACGTTCTAGTGTAGTGAGGAAGACAGCACATTAAACCCAGTTACAAAAAGAGGGGCAGGTAGAACAGCCCTGCACACAGGCTGTTGCAACAAAAGTCACAGATCACAATTGCCTAGATACACAATTTACCAATCTTAATCCAGAATAAAGGTGTGCACACACAGATTTGCACCAAGATTACCAGAGGTGTGAATTACAACCCATACAATTTGTTCTAGTCACTGTGTAGACAATGATTGCCCTTAGTCTAGAACAATCATTTGAAAGCCTGACATTCAGATGAGCTATGTCACCTCAACTCCCTGCACTGTGATAGGAGCAGTTTAAGAACAGCACCTAGTCCTAATAGATGAATCTCTAGTTTTAGGACTGACTCTCCAAGATGGTGATTCAACAGCCTCCAAGACCACTTATTCCATTGCCCCAATTGTTCTTCTAGTTATGAACCTTCCAAGCTCCCTGGATGACAGGGAAGGATGGCTCATCTGGGTTCTCTATATACCTGTAGATAGTTCTCCTTTCCCCAGACTTAAAATTTCAATTCTCTTAACTCCCAAATTGTATTGTCCAAAACATTGATCATATTTCTTTCTTGATTTTTTTTTTTGCGCCTTCAGGTGAAGAACGCCAGCTGCAAACTCCCCTATAGAATGAAGTTTGTTATTTATCTTGCACAAAATGGCAACTATGGAATCAGGGCAGTTTGAAAAGGAGTTCAACATAAGCTCATCTCTGTTTACATTAGTAGTTTCACTGCCTCTTGTCAGCTCTTTCATTCTCTTGCAACAACTTCCCAGAAAGTTCTAAAAAGAAAGCGGGCTGCATTCATTTTCATTAACATAAATTGCTGATGCACTCCTTCTATATATTTCTATTTTCTGGCAGGATCAATTTTCAAGTCAAGTAAGCTTTGTTGGCATGACAAGGGACTTGGTCTTTCCCCAGCTGGAGAAAATCAATGTCATATAGAACTTTTCTATGGTATTTAATAACAAACTGTTTTAATGATAGTAAATATTGCCAAATACAGCTGACAAAGTTTAACATACACAAGTTTAGAGATTTTTTTATGCATGAGTATATATGAGAATGGTGCCCAAAACTGAACTCATTACTTAAGTGAGATCTAAACAGCGCCAAGAAAAAAGGAATCATCTTGTGTGAGAGACAGCCGAATATGACATTTGCCTTTTTGTTCAGCATTACCAAATCTAGGTCTTTCATCATTCTCTCTAATCCTAGTGGTCCCACTGCCCGGCAACCCTGCAAGTCAGGCTTTAGAATATTTCCCTCTTACCAGAACCTCTATAGCTTTAGAGAATGTAGTTATTGAGTTCAAACTAATTCTATAAGGCTGAGCTATGGTTTTAGTTCCATCTGCCAACCTGATTACTCCCAGCTTTGTATCAACTGGAAATAAACTCTGCTCTACCCTCCAGGTTTCAAATACCTACAGATACTCAGTGACACCATATTTGGTGACTGGGAAAGTGCCTTCTACATGCACATACCTAATATACAAGCACAGGTGCTCCACATACCCCCCCAGAAGTATTGGAGTCTTTCTACCTTTTTTCATCTAGGTTCTCTCATTAGCACTTTCACTAATGGGGTCTCAGGCTTCCCCTGGCAAGGAACAACAAGTTTGACCTATTTCTTCCCCTTTGTTATTCATGCCAATATTTATAAACCTTTATCCTGTCCCCCCTCTGTTGCCTGTTTTCCACGTCTTCATGTCCAGTTCCTTTGTCCACGTGACCCATTGTGTGTTTTTGGCCCTATCAGCATCCATTCTACAAGTGCAGAATGGAGAAGTAATCACAGTGCTCCAGCAGCAATCTCACCACATCTGATGCAAAGAAATCACCCCCTCATTTGAGGTGTTCGTCACAAAAGATTTTCAGATTTGGTGCAAATACTGCAGACCGGCTCCAAGTCCTACCAGACTCCCATCTCCTGCATCTCATGGTATTTTATAAACTGTAAGCCTTACAACACTCCTGTGAGGGAGGCAAGGGATACAAAGGGGTCACTTCACCCAGAGCCTCAACGCTTTGGGCTATTCGCAGAGATAAGGCCATAGGAAACAGATGTGGGTGAAAGGTTAAACTCAGACAAACAAGAATTAGACAAAACAGAAATGAATTCCCTGGGTCAGCACTCTATTAAGACAGCTGGAGTGCTTAGTTGTGGGCTAGGAGGGAGGGTGGGAGAAACACTGGCCTTATAACTTTTGATTGTGTGTGTCAAACAAACAGTCAGGGAGCTCTCCTCAGGAGAAAAAGAAAACAGAACAGGCAATACTTTAAGGATGGTTCATTCATTGTTGTTGTAATGTTATTAGTGTTTACCCTTACAACACGGATCCTCATCATGCACTCCAATGAGAGGGACACAAGCGTGAAGGGCAGACACAAGAAGGGCAGCAATGTGGGGCAGTCTTGGAAACAGTGGCCAGAATCCCGCTGAGATTAAACGGACTCTGTGCAGGTCACTCATCCAGAAATGTTCGGGAGCAGGGGTGCTTCACTTCAATTTGTGTCTCGGTAAATCATCTGGTTTTGTGTCCGTCTCAGAGGAAGACCCTGTTGATGGTACCATGTAGAAACTAAGACACCACCTTATTGCAGAAAAATAGGAATTGCCCAGAGCAATGAAAGAAAACCCAACAAAGTAAAATCAAAGTTGTTTAACTAGGGGCTCTGCCCCTTGTTATTCCCTGACTCTTTCAATGGTTTCCTACACACACACAAAATAGATGAGTGTATACAGTGTATGCATGTCAATCTGAAGGCTTTCCATTTGGGAGAGTAAATTGAATAATGAGAGCCCCAGATGCACTGTACCCCTGCGAACTCTCACACTCAGTCAACAGATAGGAATTAGCAACATCACATGACAAGGAGCTAGGATGAGATTACCCTGAATAGAACCTGGATATCTACTTTTAGGTACCTGGCTACAGCAAATACTCCAATTCTCACTCATACACAGCTCACATCCTGATGTAGACCATTGTGTGGCACTATCACAGTGCTAGTCTCGATCTCTTGTGAGACTCTACAGAGAAGAAGGGTTCTCTGGTCTGACATCACCATCCTTTCTGAATTCTTCAGCCAGATCCCATTTGTAACAAACATTTTAGGGTGTTCCTGAGCATGAAGTGCAGGAAGCTACAGTTGAGTAAATCAGAACAGAGATGTGGCCTGAACTCTGCTACACGCTAGAGCAGTTTCAGATCCTTGTTAAACAGAAACAACTAGCTAGTATCAGCAATAATGAGATGACTCATTGCAGCCAACAGTTATTCCATTTACAGAACCTCCAATACTAGCTGCAGAACAACAGTTAGCAGCCTCACAGCCTAAGAACCAGCTCAAATTATTTAAACTCTTCAAGGATGAGAGAACTCAGGTGCAACAAAAGCCCTGCAGTGCCCATCAGAATTTGGTCGTTTCTGTACCTGCATGCCCCTTCCCACCACAAAAAAAAAAAAAAAAAAAAAAAAAAAAAAAACACTAGCATGTGGTTTCCTAGACCAAAAGTTAAGTATTCCATAAGAAGGTCATTCATTAACTGCCCTTTGCTGACTTCTATGCATCCTAAGCAAACAGTACACCAGGGATGAACTTGGCCCTCCTAACAATGGTAACTGCCATCTCAAATCTTTTGGGTCAGGAAAGATTCAAGCAACCTAGTCTAGAATTCTCAGGGGGGGGGGGGGGAAGAGGAGGAGAACTGGAGGCAGGGAGAAAAGACAAGAACAGCTGGGAGATGGAGGGTTCCAACACATGCAGACTTTCTAATCTGAGATTTCTTTTGCAACACATACTTATAAACACGTCAGGTGCCCAACCATCTCTCATTTCCGTTTTTTGCTTCCCATATTTTCTTTGATTTCTCAGACACCGCATATAGAAAACTAGAGTGAAGGGGCTGTGTATGGGTGAACAACTGACTTGCAATACACGGGTTTCCTATGCCCATAAGAATTTGGCTTATCTTTTTAGTATTTGATGTGTTACACCCTAAATTTAGTTTGTGTTCCAACCCATACCGTGCATTCTGTCTGATTATACCATTATGATGAAGTTCCAGTTGATGGAATTTCCCTCCACCTGGACATTCAGACTTTCAAAGTTAAATTTTAAAAACTCCCTCCCACCCCCCCCCCAACCCCCCAGTATGATCTTGTGTTGCTGAGACAGTTAGGTGGTACCAACACCTTCTCCAGAGCACTGTGATTTCAGTAACAAGTGCTTTAACAATAAAAACAGAACATTGCCACACAAATCGAACATTTACCATGTTTATTCAATTAATGATCACAGAGTCACATGTCTGGCCTTTCCACAAATAGGTCACTTCAAACTGTGTGATTTGTAAGAGCCACTCATGGCTGCAGATTGTGGGTATGCATACACAGCAACTAGAGACCTGAGGCCGACCTGTGCTGGCTCATGGGGGTTGGACGGTGGGGCTGTTTCATTGTTGTGTAGATGACCAGGCTCTGGGCTGAAGCCTGAGCTCTGGCACCCTCCCACCTTGCAGGTCCCATAGCCAAAGCTCCAGCCCGAGCCTGGAAGCCTACACAGCAATAAAACAACCCTGCAGCCTGAGCTCAAGTTGGCGGTCACAGGCCAGCCGCAGGTTTTCCTTTGCAGTGTAGAGACACCCTCACTGTCATGGGCTCCACAGCTTTAGTTTAGTGCTAAATGCCAAACATGAGTTAACAGGCAACATTTTCCTTCTACTTTTTTGTATTACAGACCCCTCAAGCTGTAATTCAATTACTACTTTATAAAAATCAGCTTTTTGGTATCCTGCAACCCTATCTCAGCAACCCTTTGTCTAACTAGCTCTTTATCTCTGCTCCTTGTGAGCAGATTGCCAACTTCAAGGACTTTATAATATACCTTGAAAAGACCTTGGACATCAGCCTCCCAACTCGTATCAGAAAAAAATGCAGCAAGTTATGGC